CTCTCTCTCTCTCTCTCTCTCTCTCTCTCTCTCTCTCTCTCATATGAAGAGATGATTTTTACCTTTAATATCTTTCTGTTTAAGGTCAATCCACAAAATGGCTTGGCGTCGCCGCGAGGGCTTCGAGCCGGAGGAGGTGGAGTATTATTCTTCAGGAAATTATGGTCCAGATGCCAACAGGACTTTCGACTTCAATGGAATCGTCATTTTCTCTGATGCCAATGTTGGAGTTATTCCTAGCTATGCTGGTGAGGATCCTTCTGTGTGTGTGCACATTTTATGTTAGACGAACCTTTCTTATGTATTTTTTCTGTGGTTGACTTTATTTTATTTATTTATTTTATTTTATTATTTTTTTTTTTTATTATTATTATTTTTTTTTTTCTTCTTCTTCTTCTTCTTCTTCTTCTTCTTCTTCTTCTTAATCTGGAAGTGTTTGTATATTTTCTAGCTTTTTGGTTTTGGTTGATAAGCGACATGTAGATAACACTACAGATAGGTAGGTAGGTTTCATTGATGGATTATATTAAATAGAATCAGGGCATCAATTACCCTTCATTTAAGTACTAGCAATATTATGTGTATTGAAAGATTTTTCTTCTCATATAGTATTGAGGACAAACATTTCATTAGGCTTTGGTTAAAATCATGGTTAACAACTATCAAGCTATCTGTTTATCATAGACATCAGGTATCAAATATAAACAGTATGATAGATATTAAAACCTTATCTAATCAAAGTGATTTTTATCATGATACAAGACATAACCTATTTCTCCACAGAAAACCGCTGCAATAAGTCGGAGGGATACTCACCCTGCCTAGTTGGGGGGTGCTATCCTTCATACAAGCGCTGCGATGGCATCCAGGACTGCACAGATGGATATGATGAAATCAGTTGTACGTATAGATGATGACGGTGGAGTTTGGGGAGTTTATATTGTCTCTGTTTTGTAAGTGAATTTTTCAAATCAGCCAGTATCTGTTTATATATATATATATATTTTTTTTTTTCATGTATCTTTCATGTATTTCAGGTTTGGATCCTTTAGAGGACAGGGAGGAGGACTTCCGCATTCACCGATACCAAAAGTTCTCTGATTTCTTTGATGCAGAAGATGGGGACTGGCTTTGGCTTGACATTAATATTGGTGAGAATTTATAATTTCTTTTAGTCTTTTGCTCATCTATCTTTTTTCTCTGATTTATTCTTTCTTCTTTTCTCCCCTATATTTTTATGTATTTAGTGTTTACTTGTTTTTGTAGTTTTGTTACCACTTCCCCTTTCTCGTTTTCTCTCGGTAAAAGATTATTTGAATATTTGTTGTACAGCAATACAGTAGTGTATTACTGGCACCACTTCTATTAAATGTTAAGCATATTCCTCATTCTCATCCATCTTCCTGCATCCTCCTCTTCCTCCTCCTTCACTTCGTTCAAATGATAGCACCCCACCCCTCCTCCACCTGCAGGTCACAAGGGTCACGAGCAGAACCTGGTAGAGATGCCAAAGGTGGACGACCCTTACGTGCTTAATGCCTTCAGCGTCAGCAAGGAATTTGGCTTCGGCTTGGCTCCTGCACCCCAGTGGGTTAGTCACATTTATATTTTTGGTTTTATTCTTTTTCTTGTTCTATTTGGATTATTTTCTGATATTTTTAAGACGTTTTGTGTGTCTGTGTGTTAGAATTTCTCTTGTAATATTTTCATGCTATTGTTTTATCATGATGAATGGTGTACCTAATCACATAGCAAAATTTTGTTGTAGGTTCATAATATATAATTCAGTTTATTTTATATCTCTTTTATATTTCGAATATGAAAGTAAAATATATATATATATGTTAATGTCTTCATTTCCTGGTGTAAAGAGTGTAAAGTGAAATTTGGTTTTTCATTGTATAGATATAAGAAAGTAACATATAATTTAGATTTGCATCTATATCTATAGAAAGTGTTGAATGAGAATTTGTTCCCCAATGCAAAATCTGTACAAGTTTTTTATATTACATCTTAATCAGAATCATCTAAATCTGTTGAAGATATAATACCAAAAGTTCAGTAACAGGTTTTGCATTGTGGAACAAATCATTTTGATTCAACACTTCCTGTAAGTATCGATGCAAATCTAAATAACTTGTTACTTTCTTACATCTATTTAATGGAAAACCAAACTCTTTTACATCATGGAGTGCCTTCACGTCAGATACATGTATATTTTACTCTATTAAGCAAAATATAAGGAGAGATATAACAAATGTAATTATACATCATAAAACTGCAACATAATTTTGTGTGAAAAATTATGAATTTATTTTATTCCTCATCTGCCTTTGTCACTGTGAACTGTATTATCCTTTGCAGTATTCAATCATTCCGCCCGTCTACGTCAGCCTGGAAATGCCTGACTCTTGCCGCAGAGGAGAACAGGTAATTGAAATTTCACTGGTTCACACTGTATTATTATTATTTATCTCTGTAGATTTATCTTTTATTTAAATTTTTGAGATAGATTTTTGTTTGTGACTTCCTTCCTAAGCGAAGAGTCTCCCCTGCAGGTGGGCATTCGAGTGATGGTGTTCAATAACATTGAGACGGAGCTTCTGATCCTGCTGGTCCTTCATGGTTCAGATGACCACCGCTTCATCATGGTGGAAGAGACTGGTGTTGTCGACTTCTACCGTCCGCGCACCATGGCAGGCGACCACCAGCATCTCGTATCGGTGAGGACTAACCTAGGGTTGGGAGAGTTTCTTGAGGCAGGTTGGGGTAGAGGCAATGGGTCTTAGTTAAGGGCTGTGAGGATAATGATTTCTCACCTTTTCCAAGGTGTTTGATTGTCTTCATCATCATCTCCTCCTCCTCCTCCTCCTCCTCCTCCTCCTCTTCTTCTTCCTCTTCTCTCCCCTCTTGCCTTTCCCTCTTCTTTTGCTTTCCTCCCTATCTGTTCTCTGTTCACTAATATCCACTTCATTTCCTCCCCTCTTTTTCTTTGCTTTCGGGTCTCCTCTATCTTAGCTCTTTTTTCATCTTTCATTTTCTCTCTCTTTCCTCCTTTTATGTCCTCTCTCTTTCCTCCATCCTCTCTTTATCAAAATCTTGGTATTTCTGTTTAATTACAAGTATCAATATAGGTGCTACCACCATCACTTTTACAAATAAAATGCATAGATAATTAAGAGTTAAAGAAAATGATAAAATAAAGTAAATAAAGCATAAATAAATTGCTCAGGATTACTTGAGATGAATATATTTATTCACAAATGTTAGAAATGTTAAATTCTTATTTTTTTAGATAAAAGAAAGTAATGTTAAATTTATTGTATTTTACTATTCCCGGGATCACTCTTATGATACCCTGTCAGCACTGTATTTCCTTCTGCTGCTGTACATTATATACGCTCCCTCCATAGTCAATAGTCGTGGAGAATCCCAAATCTACATCCCACACTCCCTTCTCTCCCACTTGTTCTCAGCCTCTGCTTCCTTACTTTCCTGATCACTTCCACAATACCTAACCATCCCCTTCTACCCGTCTTTCAGGTGCCTCCTGAATCAGCGATGGAGGTGATCTTCCCCGTTGTGGCGACCATTGACCAGGGCGAGATTGAGCTCACTGTGTCGGCCATCTCGCAGATCGGCCGAGATGAGGAGACTGTTACGCTCATCGTTGAGGTCTGTGGGACGTTGGTGTCTTTTCAGTAGTTGGGGAAAGGTGGTGGTGCTTGATATGAATGCTCTGATAGGTTTTTTATTGCTACTTCATATTTGTATTTGTTATTTGTTATGGGTATGAAATTGGTTCAGATTATGTATGGCTTCAACTGAAAAATATTGTACCTACAAATTAATGTAATTATTTATTCAATGACTAAATGTCTCTCCCACCAGCCCGAAGGTGCCACCATTGACCGCCACACCTCGATCTTGCTCGACCTGAAGAACCGGGCGCTGGTCTATGAGTACATGGACATCATCGTGGAGGAGTCGTACGTGATTCCGCTCCAGATCCGACGTCGCTTTGTGGCTGGGTCGCCCAGGGGTCATGTGTCTCTCTGTGGGGACGTAGTCGGTCCGTCCTTCCCCAATGACGTGAGTTGGTTTGGAGTTGGAAGTGTTTAGGTTTTTTATTTTTCCCTTTTTCATTCTTCCCTAACCTTTTCTATCTCTTGTTTTCATTCATTTAAGATAAATTCTTTTCTGGTTATAATTTTACCCATTTCAGATTGTCTGGTTTAGTTTGGTATGCTTATTTTTCGTTAATTTTGTATAAACCTGTCTCTGTGTTCCCATTCCCCGTGATCTCTTAACCCCTTTTCCCTTTTGCTTTTAACAGGAGCCTGTGGATTCCGTGCAGATGCTACGCAAGGAACTCCGCGGAACGGAGGCCTCGACCTTCAACTTCGGCGCCAACCTGTGGACACTGCACTACCTCCGTCTAACAAACCAGCTCGACATCTCCGAGAGGCAGGACATCTTTGACCAGCTCAACGTCGAGCTGGCGGCCATCATGTACCGCTTCAGCAGCGAGGGCTCCTTCAAGATGTGGGACACATCACAGCCTAGTGTTTGGTAAGGGAAAATGAACATGAAAGGGGTATGATCCTCTTTTTTTATTTTTAAGTGTACTCCGCCTGTTTAATAATATGACAAAAGAGGCATTTACTATGAACTTGTAATCCATGATCGCTTCATGGACGCACACTGCTCTTCCCTTAATGGAGCCATAACCCACAAACCGCTCCCTCCCTTAGGCTGACGGCGTGGACGACCCGCACAATCCAGATGGCGCAGTTCCAGGACTGGGAGAATATCATCTACATCGAGCCGCGGATCATCTCGAAGGCGATCGAGTGGCTCATCAAGTACCAGACCCCTTCGGGCGCCTTCATGGAGACCCCCGCTTACCAAGCGGTTCCTCTCGACAAGAAGGCCGATGCTTATGTGAGTTCAAATAATTGTTTTTGTTTTCTTGCTTCTCTTTACCCCTTTTTGTGGCAGAGGCTTTGCTCTGTTTTGATGTCTTTACCGCAAGTTTTCTTTCTTCCCTCTTTACTTAAATGATTTTTTTTTTATTGTTGTTAACATTAATTTTATCTCAGTATTTAGCCATGTTCACAATGTTTTAACGTGATTTCATTCCGTTACCTTTCATACACTCTTATCCTTCCACTGGCTTGTGAACCACTTCCTTCAATCCCCTTTTAATGACGCTAAACCCCTGTAATGATCCCAATCCCCTTGTAAGAACTTCAAAACCCCTATATTGGCCCCAACCCTCTTATAGTGACTCCAACCACCCCTGCAATGACCACAAACCCCTTATAATGACCACAATTCCCTATAATGATTCCAACCCGCTTGTAATGACCACAATCCCCATGTAATGACCCCAACCCTTTATAATGACCTCATCCCCCATATGATAACCTCAACCTCCCTGTAATAACCCAACCCAGGTAATGACCCCAACCCCAGGTAATGACCCCAACACCATATAACGACCCCAACACCCCTATAACGACCCCGACACCCCTATAACGACCCCGACACCCCTATAACGACCCCGACACCCCTAATAACGACCCCGGCACCCAATAACGACCCGAGACCCCTATAACGACCCCGACACCCCTATAACTACCCCGACACCCCTAGAACGACCCCGACACCCCTAGAACGACCCCGACACCCCTAGAACGACCCCGACACCCTAGAACGACCCCGACACCCCTAGAACGACCCCGACACCCCTAGAACGACCCCGACACCCCTAGAACGACCCCGACACCCTAGAACGACCCCGACACCCTAGAACGACCCCGACACCCTAGAACGACCCCGACACACCCCTAGAACGACCCCGACACCCCTAGAACGACCCCGACACCCCTAGAACGACCCGACACCCTAGAACGACCCCGACACCCCTAGAACGACCCGACACCCTATAAAGACCCCAGCACTCCCATAATGACCCCAACCTCTCCTCCCCCTACAGTCGTACGGGTACCGGTGGCGCGGCGCGAGGAACATCACCCTGACGGCGCAGTGCCTCATCACCTTGGAGCGCACCATCAACTCCCTCCAGGGCAACGTTCGCGCCGATGCCAATAATGCGAAGATTCAGGCGGTTAGGTAGGTGCCGTGGGATTTTTTTTCGTTCTTTGTTTTCTTTTTTATCTTATCTGTTTTTTTTTTCTTCTTTTTTCTTTTCTTTTCTGGATGGTATGGTTTTCTTTCTCTTTTTTGTATTTTATGTGTTTTTTTTTCTTCGATTCTCTCTTTTCTCTACTGGTGTTATTTCGTACTTTTTGTTAAGCTGTATGCTTTGTTAGTTTTTAACTTATTTGTTAATTTTGTGAATCCTTTGTTAACATTTTGTGATATGTGCTTCAATTTTTGTACATTGTCTTGTTAATATTTGAACTGTTAACCTCTGTATGTTGCAAACATATTTATAAGCTGCATTTCCAACAATCTTACATTGTTTAAATGATTCCCAGTAAAATCCATAGACCATGAGTTGTCGTTGAATTCTTGCAGTCACCTCGTCTTCAATTCTCATCTTTCTCTAATCTTTATGATTCGGCAGAATTAGTGACCTAAGGATTCACTGGTTATAGAAAGTGACTCTCCTGGATCTCGAACTTACCAGAGAATCCGAATTCGGAACTAATAAACCCGTAGTACTCGAGTCGGCGGGAGAGGGGGTCCAAGGCCATAGTCCGCGGCTGGCACACTGCCAAGATCGGGCAGCTGAGAAGAACCTGTTGCAGAAATTAGACCATGTAGACGCAGAGATTTCTACCTCGGATTCCCTAATCTCTTGCCCGTCCCTCAATCTGATTATCTCTTTATCTCAACCCAATCGTTCTGGTCCCTCAGGTACTGGAGCGCGAGCTAAGGAACATCCGGGACCCGTACGAGGTGGCCATCGTGGCCTACGCTCTCTCGGTCTCCAACTCCGTGGAGAAGGAGGCCGCCTTCAACCAGCTGGATCGCATCAAGAGGGAGGAGAGTGAGTGATATATTTTTTTTTTTCTTTTTTTCCCTTCCAGATTCTACATTTTCTTTGCTTTTGTAATAGATTTTGAAAATCGTATACGGAACTGTGGATTTTTTAAACGTTAGCAAGGAGTCGGCAACTGTTTTAACATAGCTTGCCAGTTTATAATTAATGCCTTCTTATTAATACCCTTGCATGCCAAGTTTTATTACAGCACTGTATACCCAAGTGTATTTTCCTACAGATGTATAACATAAGTGTAATATTTGTGTAGCATTTAGTATTCTTTGTAACAAAAAATACACATGTTTTATAATTTTCGATATGTATTCACCATAATATATATCAGGACACACCGTTATAAGCCTGCTGGGATGGGGGCTGAGGGTATGACCATAATAATGAGACTCTCCATCTCTCTCTCTCTCTCCTCTCTCTCTTATTATTATTGCTATTTAACTTTTTTCTTTGCTCCTATGAATCACATGCCGTGCCAAGTCTGGCACTCGTGCCAAAGATTGCCGACCTCTGTATTACGGGAAACTGGATTTATTTTATTTATTTTTATGCAGATGAGTATTCATGTATGGTGATTTTTTCTCTGGTTGTAATGGGCTTGGGATTTTATTCTGAAAAAAATACTATACACTGATATTGTAGAACGCATGAAAAATATTTTTTATCATTACCAGTATCTTTCCATTCCTTTTATTCGGCACACATCTCAAACGCCTCGACCCCATTTATCATCGCCTCGCCATCCTTTCTCTTGTTACTAATCTCCATCCGCGCGCACATCCTCCTCGCCGCCCTTTTTTTCGTTCCTAACCCCCCTCTCCTTCACATTTTTTTCGTTCCTAGCCCCCCTTCCTCCCTTCACCACCTTTTTCGTCCCTAACCCGCCATCCTTCCTCACCTTTTTTTCGTTCCTAATCCCCTTCCTCCTCCCTAACCACCACCTTTCTTTCGTTCCTAATCCTCCTCCTCCCTTTCACCCCCCTTTCTTTCGTTCCTAATCCTCCTACCTCCTTTCACTCCCCCTTTTTTCGTTCATAAGCCCCACCTTCCCTTCATCACCCGTTCTTTCGTTCCTAATCACCCCCACCCCTCCTCCTCCTCCTCCCCAGACGGCCTGGTCTACTGGTCCGATCGCCCGTGCAGACCAACAAGCGCGTGTACGAGAACAACCAGAGGAACCTCCTGCAGCCCAAGTTCGAGGAGGAGTGGGACTCGCACGCGGTGGAGGCCTCGTCCTACGCCCTGCTGGTCTACCTCATCCGGGATGGCGTCAACATCATCCAGGAGAGGATCGTCGAGTGGCTCAATGCCATGAGGATGCACGACGGAGGGTTCATCTCCACGGTGGTGAGTCTTTGGAGGGGAGGAGATTGCTCTTGTGTGTGATTTCGTTCCTTTGTTTGTTTGTTTTTTATCTAATGGACGTGTTGGGTTCGTTTTATATTTATATTGATAATGAAACAAACAATAATTAAGAATAAGATTAAAAAATAATGAAATTAGTTAATACTAACAATAAATAGATGATAAAAATACGACGGAAACTTCAGCCAAAACCCACCCGCCACCATTCTCCTCCGCAGGATACCCTCGTCGCTCTGGAGGCCCTGACGGAGTACTCCTACCGCGCCCGTCTTCGTGACCTGACGGACATGCGAGTGACGGTGGAGGCGACGGGCGAGGAGGGGCGGTCGCCGCACAACGTGGTCATCTCCAACAGCAGCGTGTCCCAGATGCATATCATTCCCGTGGGTTTGAGTTTTGGGTTGTGTTTGGCGTTTTAGTTAAGGTTGTGATGGTGGAGGGGAGTGTTCGTGTTGGGGAGTCGGAGATTTGGAGATAGTTTGTGTATATATATTTTTGTTGTTTTTAATTCGTTTTACGGTATCCAGATCTTCAGACGTGAGATTTCTTCCTATCCAATGTTCGCAAATAAGTCTTCGCATGTCTTACGTTACCAGATTATTTCACAAACTAGATTTTACAATATATCCTGGCAACTAAGCTACTTCATTGACCCATTCAACGTAAGAGGAATTTAATTTAACCCTCCCCCCCCCCTCCCCAGATTGAAAACTTATAGGGTGTGACCACTTTATCCACCCATCATATTCATTCATTTTGCCCCTATCTTTCCTCCCTCCAAGACCAAGACCATGGGAATGTGCCTACTATCCACGCATCACTTCCAGAATGAGAAGTGTATTCTTTTCGCCCCCCCCCCCCCCACCATCGCATCCAGCTTGAGAAATTCACTCATTTGGCACGTCTTTTCTTCCCAGATCAAAAACGTGTGGGGTTTGGTGAACGTCGTGGCCCACGGAGCAGGACAGGCCATCCTTCAGCTGGACGTCAGCTACGGCATCGACTGGACAGATCTCAAGAAGCAGCCTCCGGTCGACGCCTTCAAGATGGTCATTAACGAGCGCTATTCCAAGTTCCGCAACAAGTCTATTTGTAATGTGGAAATTTGCGCCAGGTGAGAGCACATTTATTATTTGCTTCTTCATTTTTTCTACTTCCTTCCTATCTTCTCCTCCTCCTTTCGCCGTTTCTTTTACTTCATTCTCTTTTCTTCTTGTTTCTTCGTATTTATCGCCGTTCTCTTCCTCTTCATCCTCATACGCCTCTTCTGCAACTACCCTTTTCAATTTGCATTTTTTCTAACGATTTTCATCAGAATCACATTCTTCTTGGCAAATGTCCTAACCGTCCTCTCTCTCCCTTTTCCTCCTACTCTTGTCCCCGCCCAGATGGACCAACTTGGAGGAGTCGCCCCAGAGCTCGGCCGCGGTGATCGAGGTCGAGGTCCCGACGGGCTACGTGGCCTACCAGCTCGACCTCGAAAGGAGCATCTATCGTGCGCAGATGAGCGGGAACTTCCCTCGCTAAGGGACGTCATCGGGGGTCACGGAGACACGTTTGCCAGGAAGACCGTGTGGTTCTTCGATTATGTGAGTTTTCGTAGTGCATGCCTTTTTGTTTACTTTGATATGATTGGGAGGATGAGTTTATTCCGTTTTTGTTACGAGGAAAAGGGCAAGGAAAAACGGAAAACAGTATGGAGGTTCCAGTAATTTGGTATATATAAATAGGATTTTTTCAGTACAGGTCGACATCGAATTTTCATATTTATTTGGAAATCATTTGGATTTGGAAACCTTAATTACTTTCCATTAGTGTCTATAATGGCCGTTAATATGTTGGTTATTGCATATTATTTTTCGGATCTTTATGAGAACAGTATTAGGGGGATGGGATGGGTTTCAAAGGAATGTTTTGATTGCATGTTTGCTGATCTTTGGAACTATCTGGATGTTTTTAATCGACCACAGATACCGGGTAATACGACCTGGTGCTTCGAATATGTGATGAAGAGATGGTATCCTGTTGCTAACTTGACGAGGGTCCGTATGGCTACTATCTATGAGCAGTATCAACCAGGTAAGAACAAACTTATTGATATGAAAATTATAATTTCTTTGTTATTGAAAAATATGTAGTGATATAGCGATTGATTGGCTTAGAGTAGGCCTTTGTTTAACAGAAATTTCTTGTCTCCTCTACTGCATTCTTCTTTTTTCTATGTTTCCCTTCTTTCTGTACTTGATTCTTCTTTCTTCTTTCTATCCTGCATTCTTCTTTCTTTTATCTGTTTCCCTTCTTTCTCTACTTGATTCTTCTTTCTTCAATCTGTTTTCTCTTCTTTCTCTCCTGCATTCTTCTTTCTTCTCTCTGTTGCCCTTCTTTCTCCTGCATTTTTCTTTCTTCCCTCGGTTTCCCTTCTTTCTCTACTACATTTTTCTTTCTTCTCTCTTCTTTCTCAAATGCATTCTTCTTTCTTCTCTCTGTTTTCCCTTCTTTTTGTCCCATTTACCAGTCGTCCCGCTCCCCTCTTTCCCACAGAGCGCTTCCAGATGGTGATGCTGAATTCGACCGTAAACACCCTGGACGTATGCGAGGTGTGTGGCTCGTACCAGTGTCCTTACTGCCCTATCTACAGTTCGGCGCCGTCGCTGAACCTCCCCAACGTCGGGTTCTTGATCTCAGTGGCCCTTGTGACTTACGCGTATCAGGTGTTCTCGGAAAGCCGGTCGTTCGCGGGCTCGAGATGGCCAGGAGGTAGTGGCAGTGGGGTGTTTGGTGAGAGTACAGTGTATGGATTTTGAATCGTCGCCACAACGAATGCGTGTGTGATTTCTTCGGACCTTTCTGTTGTGTGGAGAATCGGAATTTGTGGATTTTCCGATTTTCTTTTCCACTGATGGAGATAATGTTAGATAATCGGTTAATTCAGGCTCTCAGCGGCTTCAGAACTTGGTTCAAGAGTGAGATTTCCTCAAGAAAAACGTTGTGAGTTAGTGTTTTAATTCTTTAAGAATCTGTTTCGAAACAGAAAAAAATCGTAGTACTTCATGTGAATTTGATCTTGATTAAGAATAATCAATGTTTTGTAAGTAGTAGAGTCTTATGTACTTATTCATAATTTGTAGGAATTGTGAAAAGATAAATTCCTAATACAGTAATCCGTCCGTTAGTTTAGATTCTCATAATCTCCGTCCATTTTAAGAGAATGAATTTTTGTTCTTGTGAATATCCGCCCAAATGTTGACAGGATGTGTGACATGCTGCTGTAAAAATCTTAGAAGATTTTAAGTCATTTCATAAAATGTAGTAGATTAATTACATTGTCTCAAAAAATCTTTAACCAAATACTAATGTATTACACCAGGTACATTAAGAATAGGTGCCACTTTAGTTTTATACTTTTTTAAATCGCAGTTCTTCCATTCTCCAGTGTGGCAGTTTTACCAAATATGGCAGAAAAGGTAATAGCAAGGAGGCATGCTCATATTTTAATTGCCTGCATCAGGTTTTCCTGCTGAAGAACTTTTATGAACATTGTTGGGACTTCTGATACCACTGGTTTTCCAAATTCGTATATTTTGCTCTTGTAACAAGTTTGTATAAAAGTTTGGCATTCTGAAAATCGTTTATTGTACAGTTGTTAAAAGCAGTGTTTATTTGTCAGTGGACTCTATATTTCCGTACTGCATCTGAATTAATGCTGTGCATTGTAGAATTTCAAATTAGTTCATCCGTACCATAGTTACTGAATGAAGCCATTATTCACATACTTGTATAGGATGTGTGTTGTATATTTTTGTATTACCAAACCTTAGAAACGGCATGCATGTAGACTGTATGAGTAAAATGTTTTGCAAAATAGATGTGCAATATGGAGTTGTACATAAGGAAAATTCAGGCATTCCTCCCTATTGTAAATATTTCACGATAAGCAGTTACTGTTCTCAGAAGAAAATGTGTTATGTATCACACAGGAAAGACCGTGACAGAGGTTTGTTCGTTATTTTTTTCTAGGTAATATGTATGGTATGTTGATTGGTAGTGACTCAAGAGTGATTTAATAATGTTTAAAGAATAGAACTGTGAGGTGTAAGAGGTCCCAGCCATAAAATGGAAAAGTGTCCTTTTTGTTGCATTTGTTTTGAATTAGAATATGGGGATCTGTTTATATGCTTTACAATTTTCGTGTAGACTGAATTTCCGGACACTTTCCTTGTTCATCTGGGTAAGAGTACAGCGTACCAAGTAGTGTGAATCATATAACAGGTTGATTGGTTAAAAAAAACATGCAAGAGATTAAGACGTTTGTTTTTTTATTATTAATTCAAATTACGTTTACTTCAAATTCTTTCTTTTTATGTAAGATTTTAATCTGGTTTGCTGTTCTGATTAGAAGTAACGACAGCACATCAGCTTGGGAACAAATATTTTTTGTTTTTCATATTTAATAAACCTAAGAGAATCTGTATGTCTGGACATCCAGTTCTTGGGATTCCAGTAAAAATATATAATTGAATGGCATTTTATTCATAACAATCCTCCAGTAAGATCAAGTTTACAAGTGAATAAATCTAACCAAATGCAAAAGAAATTTTGGTTTGTGCGTGTTAACGACATGAACGATTTTTTGTGTTTTGTATTATGAACTTTAACTTTTATTAGATTAAGTTTATGCGAAATTAGCATACTTGCCCTTATCTAGATTAGGATAAAATAGCAGATTCAGAAGACTGTACAATAAGTAAGTTAAACAAATCTGCCAAAATTAGGATTCTGGTTTACTTTGTTTCATCAAGAGCGCATATGCCAAAGTAGGAAGAGGCCCATATGAGGTAAAAACCTGCTTTCATTACCAATACTCACGTTGAATCTTTCGCAGTGCGAATCAGCATGGCAGTATTTGTGAATGTCGCCTTAGATTGCATGACTTTCGTACTGTCTGCGACGATGCTATTACCTTCCCTTAGAGAAAGTATACTTTTATCCTCTCGGACAACATGGCGACGGTTCATTGTATCAACTGGCAAGACTCCTCTCACTTTCCCTCCCTCCCTACCCCTGGTGATTCATCTGACGGCGACTCCTGTGGCGAGAGAGAACCCGTAGGCGACGCCTTCTCAGGGAAAGTACCGTCATCAATGGATTAGGCTTGTCCCAAGTCCTATTCGCAAGAAAGCATTTATACATCCCCCTCATAAAACGACCATCATGTTGCGAGTGTTTGGGTTGTTTGGATTCCTCCAATTGCTGCTGATTGATGTCCTCTGCAGCACTGCCCCTTTTGAAGAGAGCAGTTTTGCCTATCACGATGTGAGGTCCTCATAACTTCACACATGAAGCTTCAATGCCAGTCGCAAAGGGCCTCCACACGAGGTCTGTGTTAAAAAACATCTATACCTGTCACTGGTCTGACGCCGTCTGTGGTTTGGAAGAGTGTGGTCGCTGGTGATAAAGGTCCCTCAACAGTCCTCAACTACTCTTGTGTGGACCGCTTTCTCCCCACTTCTCTTTATATACGCACTCTTTCTGACACGAAGACTCCCTTCACTCACCTTTCTTCCACATGTGAAAATTTTTCATTGTTGTAATATCCAACTCCTTCCCAAGCCTTCCGAATTAATTTGCATTTGAAGTTGGATTCCAGGAGCATTATTATTTTCAGCAACATTGCCCTAAACATTTTTTTTGTTGTTGTTGTTCAGTTACCAATTTAGATGCCATTTTGTAAGAAAGTCGTTTGTGATTACTTGAGTAGACCCTAGTGGTATGAAGTCGTCGTCTTTCTTCTTTTACGGGGTTTTACTTTTGTGTATCCTGGTATGAAGTCTATATTGATAATAAGCGTACGGTCCCCCAACCCATTGCTCGTTGTCGTTGTGTGTGGGGGTGGGGGAGGGGCTAAGGAGACTGAAATTGAGGCCCACTATAGGGGATCACTCCTACCTAGGGCCTCAACCAATTTTGCATGGTCTTTTTCCTTTTCTCCATCCCCTTCTGCCCACTTCCAAAGGTGTGAGAGGCGTGCTGAAAGGATGAAAGGCTGACTTTGTGTCAGTCCTGCACGGCCGTTTGCTCTTCCCTTTATCCTTTTCACTACCATACTAACCTACAGCGCTCTGCAACCTGACATCTAACACATTTTATCCTGACCTAACTCATTTTTTACCTTTTCGCCATAATACTAAATCATACTGTTGTATGACCTTTGGTGTCTGGCACATTTATTTGTTTTGACCATTAACCATTCTGGGAATCCACAAACATCGCATTATGAAGCAAAAACCTTCCTTACCCAGGGCTTCGCCTCTAAGCCCCACCCTATCGCTATATTTTGAATATGCCGCCAATGACCTTCGATGTTAATGCGACAAAATTTTCAATAAATACTATTTAATCATACGGTCGTAAGAGTAAAATTACCCTGTATTCTCTTTCTATTCTGGAGGATGCTAATAAGCAAATACGCATACAATGCTCTGACTGCCACCTTGCCTAAGGTGCTCACATTTTTTGCCCCCGTCCACACAATCGAACAGTGCCCATTTGCCGGACACAGCCTGTCCCGTCAATACACGAGGGTGCTTGTGTCTGGCAGCATTGTCTATCCATAACCGGCAGGAAACGGTCAAAGTTCCAGGCAGACGGCTTTAGCTGGTGATATCGCTCGACCACGGCCACGCCTTCGCTTCTCCAACCCTTTCTACTTTCTACGGTGTGAGAGCCGTGTTGAAAGGATGAAAAGCTGACTTTGTGCTAGTCATGGACGGCCTTGATGAACCATGGGCAGGGAATTCACGTTTAGTTACCTGTCCCTTACCCCTGAAGATAGGGGCTTCTTTATCTATTTATTATTTTTCGTACTCACTTCGCTCGCAAGCATTGCTCCCCCTCAAAGAAAAGGTTGAAAAGACGCCCCTACCTCAAGGGGACCTTCCGGGGAGGACTCTTTCCACTACCCACTCCCGTATTATTTCTCTGCAGGTTTATCCCCCCCCCCCCTCTAAGCAGCACTGCCATTCTTAACACTGTTCCCTTTTCCAAACTTTTTAAATACTCTGTTTAGCCCAACCAAATAGGATCGATTGTTCGTGATCCCATCTACTGTCAACACTTCCAGCAATGCCTCCAAAACAAGTGGTAAAGTTTCCTTCTGCAGTTACGCCTTGTCATAACTGCATCTGAATCCCAAGATACAGCATTATTAATTTCTAGTGTCTTTGCAATGACTTTCCTAGAATACTTTATTTTTGGTAAATTACATTCCACAGATCGCCACCACTGAAAGGATTGCATATCTACGGCAAATACACACAGGGAGAATAACTCAATTTATAAATTTTATTATTATTTATTTACCGACTAAAATAAAATTCTCTCATAACCCGAACACACACACGTTGACCCCGTGACAAACACACGGACCATTTTTGCCATTGATCGCCACCCTACGTACTTCAACAATCACTACAAGTTCGCAGTTTGCCAAGCAAGATGATGCTTTTGTGGAAAACATCTGCATGAGAAAATACATTACTTTACATTAACTTTATACAATACAAGAACTAAGATCCTGCTAATACCCCTATTGTCCATTTTTTCACTGGGGAGGGATTTAGGGGAAGTAACACTTAAAACGGCTTAAAACTTATGTACAAATTTAAAACAAAAATAATTAATTTTGCTGGTTTCCATACATTACAGTTACTGATCAAAAATCATATACAGTATCCCTTGCAAAAGATAACCAAATCAATATAAAGCACTGTTGTGATTTTTGGGGGTTCTTCACATGGAAACAACCATCAAACAGCTCGGTGACAATATGGCACATGATAAAGCTGCTCGGCTTCAAACTGAAATCTAGTCATAGTGTTCCTTGAGCTTGGTCAAGAGGGCATCGCAGGTCTTCTTAGCATCTCCAAGCAACATGTTAGTGTTCTCCTTGAAGAAAATGGGGTTGTCGACGGCAGCGTAGCCGACGCCGAGGGATCTCTTCATAACGATGACCTGAGGAAATCGGTAAACAAGAAAAATGCAGTTTTTTTTGTTTGAGAAGCATGGTATCTTTTTAAAATATCTTAACGTATACAAAATAAAATTGTGAACACCAGACATTCTCAAACTCTGAAAGAAAAGAGACCCACCTGTTGTGAGAGCCAGACGCGGAGAACGGGCATGCCAGCGATGATGGAGTTGGGATCGTCTTCAGCGGCGGAGTTGACTGTGTCGTTGGCACCGATGACCAACACCAGGTCAGTCTCAGGGAAGTCGTCGTTGATTTCTTCCATCTCCAGCACAACATCATAGGGGACACCAGCTTCAGCCAAGAGTACGTTCAGTTGCCCAGGCATACGCCCAGCCACGGGATGGATACCGAAGCGCACGTTCTTGCCCTTCTTCTTGAGGATGTCAACCATCTCGGCAATGGGGTACTGAGCCTTGGCAACGCACAGGCCGTAACCTAGGAGTCAATTTTTGGTTAATATTTTTACGTTTTCTATACCAATTTACGTTACATGCCAACTGCAAATTAAATGCAAAAGGAAAATTACAAATAATGAGTTACTAGTATCAGATCTTCAAAGTATGGGGAGGTGGGGGGGGGGGTCATTACAAAAATTACTGTAATTATTAAACTCTTTGATAGTTAATATTTTGGGAAAGGGGAACAGTCTATGCCCAGGTGCTTACTCTAGAGCCAGAACAGTTCATGAGCTCCTTACCAGGGACAATAATGATATTCTTGGCATTGGTCATCATCTCTACAGTCTGCTCGACATTGGTCTCTGTGTGGGTACCAGTAATCTCCATGGGTTTGCCAGTGCCGGTGGACGATGTGCCAAAACCTCCCAAAATAACGTTGGGGAGAGATCTGTTTCATTGCCTAAAAGGGCGGAGCAAGAGAGAGATTATGTAGCTAGAAGATACAACGAATATCCTTAACAGACTTGACAGGTCATACAATATCATAAGCGGTGTTAGGAGTTGTAATTCAAGCAAAATTGCCCTTTTATATCTCACTCACTGCACATGTAAGAAAGGATGGCACCAGATTGAACCAATAAGGGCACCCACAACAGTCATCAAATTGTTATTCAAACATGAAACCTTCAGCGCAGAGGGCCCAGCCAGAGATAACTGTTCAATACCGTGATCACACAGGCATGTCAGCACCTGAAAAGAGAAGGATGGGATACTTAGAACTACTATATTGTTATAATATGTTGGCATGAATTTCTAAAATACATCAATAGATAAAAGTGAAGTGAAATCCAAAGTAAATATGTATCTAAAGCATTTTTTTTTTACTACAACCTTTTCATATATATTTAAACTCGTCCCTCTCGTTTGGAACTAAATTCCCATTTCCCAACCCCAAACTGGAAGAGTTTACATACCACAATGGCCATAGTAAGTGTGACACCCATGACAGCAGAGAGGGTGGTGGTGGCTCCCAGCATGGACAGTCCAGCGTTGAGGGATGGGTCGATGAAGTAGTAAGCCATGGCACCAATA